CCCCCATTGAAGCATTCACAAGCCACCTGGTACCTTGAGGTATGTAGAAAAAACATGTAAAGCTGTGTCTATGTCTGAAGCCCCAAATCTTTCCAAATCTCTCTGAATCAATTAAGAGGGTTTCAATTTGATTCAGAGAGATTAAAGGGTCTCCTGATTCAATTTAGATTTAGAGATTCAGCCACCGAATAAGGCAGAATATCCTCTGAATCATATTAGGGACTGAAGCGTCACATAGCCCTAATAATTTTAGTATTTAACAGGTTACTTATGATATGTCTTGTACTGTATGTCCACATAGTATAGAAAAAATGAATAGACCAGGAAAGTTCTACTTTGATCTTTTAAAAAACAATTCTTCATGCCATCATATTAATGACATCTATAATTTCTATAAAAAGTCATAATTGAATCATCTAGAATAAACATAACTGAATGAATATATTCATGGGTTAGATTTGATTTACATATAATAGATCTGATTACCTATATAATGCATCTGATTTTTTGATGACTCAGCCTAAAGTATACATGGTGGGTGGGTTTTTCAGCCAAGCAATACCAAGGTGAAGGATATGTAAAATAATTTTGTCTAGAAAAGGTTTTTGGTGAGTGGATTTTTTCCTCTCAACCTTGTATGTACAGAGTCTTAAAATGAAAGTGCTTCTCTAGATATCTGTGCAGAAGTAATGCTCTGACACAATGGCTTGGAAGCTTTACTATTAAAAACAATCTTGTCATAAAACAAATCTTAGGAACATCTGCTTGAGGTCAAATCCAAATGGCCTCCACAAGCTGATGTAATGCTATTTTGGAGTTCCTGAAGACTGTAATCCCGCCAGGACTATACTTTGTAAAGACTGCAGTGTTCATGCAGTATATTTTAATTAAGTGGAACATCACTAACACACCCCTTGCTAAGTCTCACAAAAACTGAGTCTTGTTTCAGATTCCACAAAGATGTAATAACAAGTGCTCTTAGGAGAGGGAAATCATAGCTTTACAAATTGATTGTTTTAATTAAATATGCTTCAGAATATTAGGCAGTATTCTTCAGATAATAATCCTAAATCTGTAGCTATCAGCTTTCCGCATACCCAGGATGCTTCTTACATACCAGAATTCTGTACACAAGCCTGAGCTTTCTTTCCATGCAGTGAACATATAGCTGGAATATCCCTTTCTTTTTAGCAATATGGGGGCATGTCTCACCAACAGGCAAAGACATGACTATACCTTTGACTGTAGCCCATCAACATACATTAATTGGTTTTAAACCGCCTATCTCAGGTAATGCTAGTGGTACAGCAGTGGCAAAATTAAATTTAATGTTGGTTTCAAAACCTGCTCAGGAACCAGTATAAATATTTGAGCAACTAGCCCCCTCTGAGCATTGTGTTGCTATTCTGGAAGTACTCAAGTTAGCTAATTTAAAGCTAGTTAGAATAAGTTTAAATGAGCTCTAGTCATGCCTTTATCTCCTATGTTGCCTCCCTTAACTGTTACTAAATTAGTAATAGAATGTCATAGTAGAATGTCATTGTGTGAATAACTGAATATGATACTGAAAGGATATATTTTCCCAAGGTTTAGTTTTCTCTTAATTTTCCCATTTTTTCTAGAAAAAAATCATTATCCCCCCCTCTGAACAGAAGGTATGCATATAGTACCCCATCCTGTAACATGGCTTCAATCATCAGTCCCCACAGATCGATAAAAGATGTTTTATGTCCTGCTGCTGTCCGTTCACTCAGCTCCCTGTAATAATTCTTCAGATTTTGCAAGGAAAAAGCATTCTTTTTGCATTTGGTTGCTTGCTTCCGGGCTTCATTGATAATCTCCCCTAGATCCTTCTGTGACCAGTCAGCTTCCTCATATAATTTGGTCATAGTCCTGAGGTCAGAAAACAGAACATTAAAGAAAAAAATGGTTAGAATTTGAGATTCATGAAACTCAGTGGTGTCAGAACCCATTAATTAGATGCCTATAGCACAGAGGAGAATTGGTATAGCCCAGAGGAGAAATGACATAGCACATAGGAAAATTCCATGGGTTCGATACATATGGCATAGTTTTGCTGTCAATCATTCTGGTGGCAGTAACTAGGTCATGGAGGAAAATTCCGCTATGCCTGAACCCAGTAACCAAATGCTACAGTAGTGGAAAATTACAGTTTAGAAAAAAGTTCCCGCCACTCATATGCAAATTCACATTATTATTGGCCAGTTTTAAATTATTCCTACGTGGCGACCAGCGATTGGCTTGCTAACCGTATAAGAGGTTGAAGCAGTTTCTGCCCAAGTTGGAGAACTCCACACACACCTCGTGGAGAACTCTGAGTACACTGTGGAGCCTAGCAAACTCCACGCGTGTTTCAGAGCGAACTTAGCGGCCCGATCAACCACTAAGGACTCCCCGTCACCGACCCAAGGGGGCCTAACACACCCCCACCCGAGACATAAGACGACTGCCAGCCCGAACTCCTCGAACACATTTGCAGACCGACCAAACGAACTTTGTAATTTCTGCCCGACCCAAGTTTTGTTTACAACTGTAATCGAAGCAAGTTTCTGACCTGCACTGTATGAGCAATGTAAGTAAACAATCTTTTTTGTTCAATCAAAATGCTTGAGTACCTGATTCCACTCTAAGCGTCACAAGTACCCGCCCGCTGACTAGGGCTCCTAAGGCCCCGAACCCCGCGCCATGGCTCTCGGCGGCGACAAGTGGATCAATTTTGCACAGCTTCATGCAATCCCTTTTTGGTCTCACTTCATTTGGACTCTCACAATTAATTTTCGTTTGAGCTTCAGATATAAACAACCTTCAGAGGCCAAAGGGAAACATGATTGACTGAAGACACCTGTTTTTTCTTAGCTTTGAAACAAAGATATACAAATCCACCATGTGTTGCATGGTTTCCATCCAACACTAAGACCTGGTCAAAATTTCAAGGTGCATTAACACTTAAGCCAGGGATCACCTGAAACCTGGCTAAGGATTAAGAAAATATCCAAAAACCTCAAGTACTCCTTGTATCATAAAAAAAACCCATTTACTTCACACCATTCAGTGGATATGGCAGTTGGCAGCAGGAGGGCAAGCAAGGATTGATGCAGCTATGGTTGCCCTCCAGTTACTTAGCCCATCACCAGTGCCACAACCGTACTACCCCATGCTGGAGTTCCCGCATGCCCCATGCAGGAACTAAAACTGCTGCCAAATCACAGGGCATATGGTGGCAGCAGCAGCTCTGATTCCAACATGGGGAATGCAGGCAGAGGCCATAGCTTACTATGTTGCATGCTGCATGGCCCATGCCAGAGATGCTGCAACTACCACCACATGCCCTGGATTGGAGCCAAAGCTGCACACACTTGCACATGCCCTGGGCTGGAATCATTTTCTGTCCCAGATTGGATCTGGCCCAGGAAGCAAGGTAAGTATTGACACCCCTAGTCCAGTGCATGAGATATTTTCAAGATAACATATTCCCTACGCATTTTTCTCTGTAACAGAGACTTCCAGTATAAGTAAATCAAATCCTTAAAAATGACTCTCACCATGTTGTGCCAGATGAGCCAGTGATGTAAGAAATACAGTCCAGAAGATTCAGCTTCTGAAGACCCCAGATGCTGCCATACATGCCCGTCAAAGCTCTTATGCCAACCCCAGTGGTTGTCACAGCCACCACTGGTATCTGCTCAGCACAACAAAGGCAGAAAGTATGTGTAAAGCACCATCAATGAACATTAATGACTAAAAAGGGGAAGGGTGAGCAAAAAATTCAGGTTCTGGTAACAAGAACAAAATCAGATCTATGAATGATAACACTTTCTGTGTAAACTCTGGCACACTTACATGACGCAGAGAGGTCTCTGTTTCCCACTTGAAACTACTTTATAGTCTCCTGCTGAATTTTGTAAAATTTCAGATTCTGCTGTATCAGAGTGTATTGTTTTGTTTTGAATATTATGGGATTAAATCCACTGCTATGTATATATTTCTAAACAGTGCATTTTATGGAGGCCAAAACAGGAATATAGTATTTGCCAATTCAGAACAGAACAGAAGGGCTGAACAAAGCAGCTAATAGTAGAAGACACCTGTTCTCATTCTCATGGCCCTGAAGGAAAAAGAGAGAAGTATCTCCTGCCATCTCCTCTCTACCCAGCTTGCACCTTCCCCTCTTAATAGTCCTCTCCCTCCCACAATTCACCATGCCTCAAAATGGAGGTCAGCAATAGTTCTCATGGAAAGACCTTTCAGAAGTGTACCAGGGCAGCTCTGAACCAGGGATAGCCATGATGCATAGGGCAGCACCAGGCTACCACAGTGCTGATCATGGCAACACAGCCAGCTGCTGCTGAGGTGATGACTATTTTTGGGCCCTCTCCAACTCCGCTACCAGGGCTGCTGCCCCAGAGGCCCCTCCCCGCACATCTTTAGTTATGCCACTGCATCAAAGATACCCATTGGATCAGCTTCTTTTAAGTACCTAGTTAGCTGAGAATTTATGTTCCCTCAGGTACCTCATGATCCTGCAGATCCTCATCTAGATGAAGAACCTTCTTTATACCAGCAGCAACCACCTGCTTCCGATTTTTCAGGAAATTCAGCTCCTCTGGGCACAGGTCAAACCCCAGACGCACATCTAAATTTTTTGGTCTCCTACACAGACCCTCAGTCCTGAGGTTAGTGCAAACATATTATATGTTATTACTTGTATATTTGTGTTTCTAAATGTATACAAATATACACAGTGACATTTATAAAAAGGCATATGAACATATCAATTAATAAATTAATTAGTTGGTTTACAGACCATCCATTCTAAACTATATAGCTAGGCAAAAGTAGGAAATGAGAAAGAGAAAAAAGAGAAAGTGAGAGAGAGCACATGCACACATTGAAGGCATCTCTGATATTTAATGCAATTACTAAGAACATGCAAATGAGATTACATAAGAAAACAAAATACACTCCAATACAGTCCCCCAGCATCCTATGCTGCTTTGCAGGGTGGGCAGGCTAACCTTGGCCCAAGCTATCTGCTCCAGCTGAGCAGAGAGGCGTGCCCTAATACCCCCCAGCTTCTGACCTGGGCCACTGCAGGCACGTGGCTGCATTTCTGGAATCAAAACTGAATGTCTGTTCAATTGCTTATCAGTTCAATCTATGCAGTTTAGACTAACCTGTGAAGATGTCTCACTTCAGTCTCAGGCTTTTTGATCGTCTGTACTTAGCCATTATTCTCAGATAAGGAAAGGGAAGAGCTTGACTGACAGTCACCCATACCCAAAGTACAAATGGCTTGTTCTTTCAATAGACAAACATTTATGCCTACATAGAGCCCTCTATAGCTGCAGCAGCCACTAGCAACCTGCAGGGATCTATTGCAGGATCAGGACTCAAGGGAAGGTCTCTTACCATTCATTTGCCTTCACGTGCAGGTCAAATGTTCTGTTCTGAAAATCAATAAGGCCGATATTATAAGCTCTTTCATATTTTAAGCTTGTGTTCATTAGAATGAGTTTTACCTCCTTCACAATCAGTACAAAGCCTAACTATCCATCATTTGAGAAAGATGAGAATATACACACTCATTACCCGGTTAATTATCAGTCACATTATTTATCTCATGTTTCTCATTAGAGCTGAGTGAATAATGAATTAATAATATAGTCTCAGTCCAATGCTGAACTGAAAAAAATGTTTCATTTTGAACTGAAGCAGATTTTATTTTTTTAAAATTTTGTATTTTTTTCAAATCATTTTGGGTCAAGCCAAAATATCTTCTTGAACCTGAAATTATTCCCCTCCAAAGCCTATAATGGAACCCAAAATACCAAGTCTCACTGTCACTCTGCTGTCAGCAAGTATATGTGAAATAAGTGGATAAAGTTTGTGTCTCAGCCACATTTATGGCCTGCACAGAGGATGACAGTTTAATAAGGCTGTCAGTTATTCTGTTAGATCCAGTGCTAGAGGTTTCAGCTTGGATCTGAAGGTTCTATTCCTGTTGATGGTCCATGTGCACATCAACATAATGCCACCAGTTGACATTTTTATGTTTAGTTTACTATTTTCAAGACCTTGGAAATTACAAAACTACATTAGTCTAAGTCAGCAAATGTGAAAAATAAGTTTTCCCTTGCAACCTTGATTTGATCCTTTTGTGCATGTGCCCTATGTCACTCTCAGGGGCCCTAACAGACAGCCCAACCAGGGCTAATTACTCAGATGGCTAATCCTACCAGAGGCTCTAACTGGTAGTCGCACCTTGGTTAATGAACCAGCTGGCCACTGTGAGGGCCTTCTGATTGGCTGCTGGGGATAACAACCTTCCCATTTAAGTCCAAATGTGGCAGCTGTCTGTAAACCAGACAACAGTTCTGCCTATTTGTAGGTCTGTGCTCTTGGTACTCTGACATCTGACCCTGCTTGGCTTTGCTTCTTGGGTCTGGCTTTTTGGAAATTCCCCCTTGGATTTCATAATTTGGTCTCTGACTCTAGAATCTTGTCTCTGGCCCTCCCCAGGTGGCCTGCCGCTAGATCAGCCCACCTATGATCTAGTCCTTATAGATGCAGTCTTTAAAAACATGATCATATGTAACAGGAAGACAAAGGCTCCTATCACTAGCTAGGCAGGGATGAGAGGATAGCCTTTCACCACAGGAGAGTGGACCACAGTAAAGGCAATTTGAACCTCAGTAGGTGAGAGAAATAGGAGACACACTGGCAGATGTAAACCGGGGGGTTGACAGCAGCAGAGCCATGCTGCAGACAGCAGGGCAAGCTGCCAATTAGGACTAATGGGGTTGAGCAGCTGGAGAGACTCTGATTGGCATGGAGTGCTTGGAAGACAGTAAAGTGAAAACCTAGCAGTGAGGTCAAGTGTTGCTTTACCCCAGAAAAGGGAGGGAAGTTTCTTTTTAAGTGGATACTTGCCCCTTTTGTTATAGTTTGCACTGGTGGACCAGATGTGGCTATAAGGGGTAATGAGGAGACCATGAAGTGACAGGGAGGCACAGTAGTTAGCCCTGACATGGAAGGGATATGAGGAACAGAGGTCCAATAGCCTAAACCAGAGAGAAGTCCAAGAAGGAGGAAGGGCCAAGGCCAAGAGGGTCAGAGCCCACAGCTCAAGAAGGGTGAACATAGGTGGGATGCAGATAGGAGAGCCAAAGCCTGGATCAAGGAAAGGAATAGAGGTGGCCTGAAGCCGAGAAGGTCAGCCAGAGCCTGGAAGAGCAAGATTGGGGCTGGGGCCCAGGTGCCAGTGTTCAGAACTGTGGACCTTGTGCTAAGGAACCCAGCTACAGAAAAGGTATCAAAGCCAGGAAGGCTGAAGCCCCAGCTAACTTTTGTGGCCAGAGGGCCAAGCAGTGTGATGGGGTAAGAGGTCTTGCTTGAATGATAATTTATACCATCTGCAAGGCATGGGCATGGTTGTAGAGGAGAGAGGAGGCCATGAATCTAACCCTTAAGGTCAGCAGAGCCTGGGGAAACAAGCAATAAGGACAGGGAGGACAGAGAGAGAACCCCAGAAGACTTGCCAACTCCAGGTGGGCAGCCTCCCCTCATTAATTTTTCTATACCAACAAGGCATAGCAAGAAAATGAATGGGTTGCAATCCAGGGAGACTTGAGTGGGGCCAGTAAAGACAGAGGGGGCCACAAGGTGGCAACACAGAGGTCCTCAGGCACCATCTTGTCACATTATATTATAGTCTTTCCTTAGGAACTTTGCCCAATTTAGTTCACAGAAAGGACCTGATAGGGGAGGAATCAAACTTGTACACTGAAAAAGACTATGATCCTGCCAATTTTGTTGAAGAGGTTGGAAGTTGTGCAGTGACTGAGGCAGTATGAAGAAGAATAGTCCCATGATTAAGGAAATCAAATTCTGAACAGAAGAATTTGATTCTAGCCATCCCTCTGCCACAGAGTCCCTAAGTTATGCTATGCACAACTCACCTAAATTATTCTTTTCACAGATGGTCGCCTTAGCTGTGTGTTCTTTATTTTCTAGATAGGCAGTTTAAGACTAGCATCTAAACTGCAGATGTGTGGGCAATTTTGATTTTGCTCTCTCTGCCTCAGTTCCCCATCTGTAAAATGGTAGTGATATCACTCCCTCACCTGACAGTGGTGCTGTGAGAAAAACCTAGTGACTTTTGAAGTCCTCTGGGAGTGTAGTGATCAGCACCATAGTAAAATCCTATAAGGAATTTTGTAATTCTGTCTTCAGTGGCATGTTTGCATACGGGCAGTAAAATAGGGCCTGGTGCCACATACTGTATAATATAAGAAAAAAGCAACATATAGCATGGCTGTTCAATGAGTGAGCACAATTCATCCTGACGCTATAGGATAATACTGATACCTAACTAACTGGAGTTCAGTCACAATGGAAAGTTACTGCACGTCTCTGATGAGAAAGTGTATAGGTTTGGTATTATTCCATAAAGTCAGTAGTAACCACTCACCTCTCCTATTGTTACTTTTTCTTGTATGGGAAGTGAATTCAGGGGTAGGGTCAGAAACTCATTTTCGTTCCTTTCCCCTTGATATGATGATGACTGAAAAAATATTAAAATAGAGGATTATTTTAATATGACAAGGAGAAAATGATCAAAACAATCCTTGCCACACGTACTTCCAAGTCCTCAAACCAAGATAAACTGAAAAAACTGTACACATGTTGACTTCTGAGTTCATAAATGCCAGCAGTGACATACCCTGCTGAGCTGCCGCCTCTGTGGTATTGTAACATTTAAGTCTGAGTCGTTATACTTTATATAGTGGAATCTTGCAGGAGCAGCAGGGAAAAGCCAAGAGTTCAGTGAAAGGTTCTGGGCTCCTTCATATGATCCTTCCAGCACAAATGCAAATTTTCTATCTGAAGGGGTGACAAGACAAACACAGAACCTTATGGTTACCATCACATCCTTACACAACCAAATAAAAACAGGACTCTGGCATTCATAACATAGATGCTATTTTATAATTGAATAGTGCAACAAATACTAAACAGGATCACATAACCTAAATGTTCTGAATCCATAATAAGCTCTGAATAGGAGGTCAGTCCTATGACAACCTGAACATCATCCTTCCCTACTGGAACAAATGGGATTTGAGGAAACTTGGAACCTGTTATAATAGGATCAAAAGTAATTTATGCTCTGGGACATAAGGTGATAGGCTATACCACGTGCTAAGTATCCAAATAGACTTACAGATCTAAGTGTGATTCTGTTTCACCCTACTGGAGTCCATGAAAATCAGAAATGAAAAAAGAAGGTAGGTCCTTCTGCTCCCTGTTTCTGTGTAGCTCACTCTTAAGAGTAAGATGGCGGCAGGTTACAAAAGTAGAAGTATTAGCGAATGTTCAAGACTTCAACAGGCTGGAACATCACAGTTAGACACCTAGTCTACTTGGATACCTAATAGGTGGAATTAATTTGTTTAAATATTACACTCTATTCCAGCAATGCATTTGTGCTGCGTCTCACCCACATTTTGACAGCTAAAGATCTTGGATCTAAAACCAGTTACATACATTTATCTATATCCCTTAGCATCAGTTCTGGGCCCTCTGTAAACTCTGGAGTTATATTTTAGTGATCTGTCCTGTAATTCTTGCTAGGAATGTTAAACCATAGCAAGTATTTCATTTTACTTGTGAGATAACTGATTACAAGCATGGCTTGGATGTATAATTTTCTTCTGAAATCTCTTTTTTTCTGAAGGGGTGGAATATCCAAAAGAGTGTCAACAGAAATCACCTGAATTGAAATCAGCAAGCACCTTTTAAAATCCCAAACTTAATCTATCTGTCCATCCTTTAAAGAGTTCTTTAAAAAGCTTTTTTATCCCTTGTAAAATGTTCTAAATATTTCTGTGTTCTCATAATTCAAACACCTTTTTTTACTGATTTCATACGTAGTATTTACAGTAGAGACCCCATATCTCCCCTCTACTAACAGTAGGAAAAGTGCCATAATAATGTGCATATTTAATATTCAATATGCCAAACATGGAATACCTAAATGACTTTCTCAAGAAAGGAACTGGTTTCCAATCCTGGTAACTAGTGGTGCATGAAAACACTGCTATTGATTCTTAAATTGATGATCCACATGCCTTTGTACTTTGTCAGATCAAGTCCATAAAAGATTGCTAAAGTATAGTATTTTTTTAATATGTACTATGCATCAGGACAATACAAGTGTAGTGGTAATGCAATGGTTATGTGCACTTAAGTTGTACAATAATACCTGAGGTAATACAGAATATATTTGGTTTTGCCCTCATGACTTTTTTTTCTCGTGTCCCATCTAAAAGGATATCTTTTGATATTAAAGGAGTGGGAAGGAATTGTTGTTCTCACTGCATTTATTTCCTTCATTTCTGAATTCTGGATTCCCTCATAGGTGAGGGATGGAAAATTTCATCTTCAGGTAAGAATATTTCTTGGAAAGTTGACAACAGGATGTTATATTGGAAACTAGTCTGTTCAATTAACTAGACACATGTTCACCCAGGTATATTCTGCATGTTGTATTTGATTAATTAGGGCCTGATTCAACATCCATGGAACCTAGTGGACTCTCCCTTTTGCCTTTAATGGACACTGAATTAGGTTGTCAGAATATAAAATACTGGCTTTTTGCTATAAAATTTTAATTATCTTCACCCAAAGCCATCAGTTTAAAAAAAATACTAACCTGTAGAATCCTTTCTCACTCTTCCCCCATTGACCTGAGCCTCCAAGCAGGAAACTTCCCGAGCCTGTAACAAAGACAACAAATGAAATAATAAGGGGCACCTCTAGTGGTGTAGCTATACACAAGCCTAGTTTCTCAGCTGATCTATTGCATCTAGGTAGAGAAATGTTGAGTCTGTTGGGCAAAAAAAGCAAGACTGGCCTGTAGGAGGACTAATGTATTGCTTTATGATCCTCTGCACTGACTTTCAATCAAATTTCTGGAAGGAATCATGTCTAGTTCTCAGATTGACAACTGAACTGTAACTTTCTGTATGAGTTTTTAGGGAGGGTGCATGTACATGGAAAACCATCCTGACTTCTCCACCAAGTTAATAGATTTGCAGGAATGAAAAAAAATAAATAAAAACAAAACAAAAAAGTAAGGGGAAGCTAATAAAGACGCAGTTGTTATTAAAAGGATCAGCTTTTGGAAGTCCAGCCTATGGATATGGCTTGTCATTAGGTTTTGGTCACACTGTCATAACTGGTTTATGGGAAAGTTATTACACAACATAGTCTACCCCAACCTACATCATAACAATCCAGGCACTAGCTTTGTGAATACTTACAACAATATTCCTTGTAGTTTTTCCCATCATGTAACACTACAATAGGATTGTGGAGGAGTACTACCTTGGGGCAGCTCTCACATTTTTCCAGCTCAAGCCTCTCCCAACATGAGTAACCAGAGGGAATTGTGTGGGAGAACTGACTGTCACATTGGCTTCATGTGATCCAGTTCCAACCTGCCTGGCTGTCAGACTTTGTGTTTCAGCAGCAGCTATGAAGAAACTGGCTGATTCTCTAGTCTGTGCAATACAGTAGCATTTGGTATGCAGTACAGAAAAGATTGCAGAAAATAAAAATTACCACTAATACACCATTCGTAGCGATGTTTTCAGGAAGATCAGGGCTAAAAAGAAAAATGTAAAGTACTCAATTTATAACTATAACGTTTTAAACTCCTGAATTGCAATTCTTTGTCTTTTTATTCCCCACAGCATAACAGTACAAATAATGTTAGGTGTATTTTTCAGTTTACAGTACCTCACATTGCTTCAAATGTACTAGATAAAGATGATGAAAGGTAGTACCCCTGCTATTCCTGTCATACAGGTTTGCTGAATAGAGACTGTGCTTTGTGCCAAAATAGGATAGCTCTCTGATGTAAGCTAGGCTGAGTTTGTAGTGTTAGACTACTTAATTATTCTATTGCCCCAAAATATCCACACTTGAACCCTGAGTACCATCAGGGTTAAAAACTGATGAATTAACACAACATACCATAAAAGCTTTCCCTAGTTATCTTAGATGTCAACAACATTAAAATCTAGATGTGCATGCCCATTGTCACCACTAACCAGACCTATCAGTGTAGAACTATAGCTAATTAAAAGCTTTGTAAAAATGTATCCCTCTGTGTGAAATTCCTTTAATGCTTCCATGTTTCCGATATCATTCTGTGACATAAGAGAACTCATTACAACCTAGAGGACCAATGATTTCAAAGAGCATAAGCTGTGGTGGGGGGGGGGGGGTGTGTGTGTGTGTGTGTGTGTGTGTGTGTGTGTGTGTGTGTGTGTTCAGGAAGAGGAGAGGGAGATGGTCTGTTTGATTTGTTGTTGTTGTTTTTTAATTTTTTAAGTTAGCTAAAATTAATTTCTGTTCTGAATGCCCCAAACAGCCATACTAATGAGAAAAATCCAAAGACATTTCTATGCTTCACTGAATGTTCATCTTAGCTTAGAGGTCAAACTGGATGCCTAATGTGACCACACTTTTCCACACTGGAGAAAGCCCCACAGAAAAATATAACAAATGCATTTGTCCATCATCTCCCATTCCCATAGATCTGGCCATGCTGGATTAGGACAGTGTTTCTCAACCTGTGGACTGCAACCCAAAAGTGGGTCACAAGAATATATGAAAGGGTTGTGACACACCCACCCCCACACTGGGGGGCTGAGGGTGGGGCGCAGCAGGTCAGGAGTGAGGGGCAATCAGTTGGGACTGGTCATCAATGTTTACAAAGGGATCCCAGTACAAAAAATGTTGAGAACCATGGGTTTAGGAGATAATAGGGGTACAAAGCAATTCCTTCTTGTTAATGTATTCCTCCTTGACTGACTTACATTAATTAGATACTTAATATTTTGATTTTACTTGCCTGCTTTCCTTTGTAAACTCAACCTCTAGCTCCTCCTTTCCCTGAAAATAAAAACAAACAGCATGTTGACACTTTTCTCTAGAAAGTACCCCAAGGGATATAAAAATCAGATTCTTTGATAGGCATGGAGCTTCTGCAAAGAAGCTTTCACCTCTTTTATTGCTAATGCAATGGGTTTCATTGTCTTCTGTTTTGTTTATATTATGTCCACTGCACTAAGGGTCCCACACTTTGTATCTTTTTTTAAATGAACACACTGCATACGTCGGGGTTCTGGGCAGCTCTTCATTTCTGCTCATAAACACCCCCTATGCCACCGTCCCATGACACACTATTTCAGCAACTCTACATCTCCATGCCTTCCTTCACTTTATGGGCTCTGAAGGTCCCCAGAAGGGCTGTGCAAAATGACTGTGTCTCATTTTGATTTCAGATTCGGCCATTTCGGAGGACAGTGATTTGTTTTGCTGTATTGGATCACTGCTCCGTTTCAATTCGGCCAAATCTGTTTCAGAGTTTTGATGCTGTTTCAGAGATTTGGATCGGCCAGGGAGAGGGAGGCACAGCTGGGTGGCTGCAGGTTCTCCCACGGCTCCTCCAGCTGTGCCTGCCTCTCCCCAGGTAGGGGGAGCCACGGGAGAAACCCCCAGGCTGCCCTGCTCAGCCCCATCTACCACCCAGTCCCAGCCTAATCCCAGCCCTTTAAAAAAAAAAAAAAAAAAAAGCAACATAAAAAAAGCCCCACACTCACTAGACGTAGCAGCGGCAATCAGGGCCTCTGAGGGCTTGTGGCAGAGCCCCCCCCCACACAGTGCAGGGCAGCAGGGATTGCCTCGCCCACCCCCGCTTGGCAACTTCACAGCGCTGTCTGAGAGCTGGGGCGGCTCCACCTGTCAGCTGGAGCCCCGCACCGCTCAGCCCCAGCTCCCAGGCAGTGCACAGCACCCTGCCGAGACACACTGCACCCATGCCATGGGGCAGCTGCCACACAGGTGCCCAGTGGGGGAGCAATCCCCACTGCCCCACACTGCATGGAGGGCTCTGCCATGAGCCCTCAGAGGCCGCGATTGCTGTTGCTGCAGCCGGTGAGTGCACTATACTCCACCCTGCTTCCATGTAAATCTATCCAATTGCAAACCTCTAGGTCCCTGGACCACTCATCAACATACTTATCCCTTCTTCTGGGTCCCTGCTTCCCATACAACCCTACTCCCACCCTCCCAGAACCTGTTGATCAGATAGATTGTTCCTGAATGACCACATGACATATAAGCAGAATAATGCCACTGAGTTGAGTGAAGAGCTTTACTACTACAGAGGAAGACTTTTGAAATTAGTCACATATGCCACTCATGCTTACCTCTTGAGGAAGATAAGTAAGATGAATACTATTGAATGAACATTGGACAGCATGAGGTTTCCCAGGAAACATTCCTTACCTTTGTACCAATACTGCTTTGACTTAAAACATCATAAAAGTCACTAAGAACTAGCTTTTCTGACAGCAGGCCTAGATAATTTTGTCATCACTAAGGAAAATGTAAAATTCAGGGTCCAGTTTTCAAAGACAGGCTTTCAAGTTGCTAGCATATAAAATTGGCATTTATGTGTTCAAACACTGATCTGAGCACTTCAGCATGGGACTGGTTTGTTTTTATCCTAAGCATGTAGATTTAAATTAGGGGCATGCAAAGCAGGCCCTATTTGATTTGGATTAAGATTCAGCCTGAATCAGGGACAGTAATTCAATTTGTTGATTTGGATCACCGTCCCTGATTCAATTTAGCTGAATCCAACTCTGAAGATTCGATGGACATAGACACAGCTTTAAAAGTTTTTTCTACGTACCTCCAGGTACCAGCGCAGCTTGTGAATGCTGCAATGCTGGGGCGGGGGGCCCTCTACGTGCTCAGTGGTGAAACTGGAAGTGAACTGGAAGTACTTCCAGTTCACTTCCAGGCCAGCTGGGGAGCACACTGGGGGCCCCCCATATTCCCCTGGCTAGGCAATTGGCCACAGACCCAGGAGGCACCAGTCACCAAGCTGCAGGGGTGCATGAGACCCCTCTGTGTGCTTCCCAGCAGACCCAGAAATGGACTGGAAGTGCTTCTGGTCCACTTCTGGGTCTGCTGCTGAGCATGATGGGACTGCTGCTGAGCAGGCGGGAGAGCCCCCCCGCCCTTCTGTGGGATGCTCCATGCGCCCCAGCATTGCAGCATTCACAAGCCACCTGCTACCTAGAGGTATGTAGAAAAAATATTTAAGTTGTTTATGTCTGAATCTCTGAATTTTTCTGAATCTCTCCGAATCAATTTGGAGGGTTCCAATAGGATTTGGAGAGATTAAAGGGTCCTCTGTTCAATTCAGATTCAGAGATTCGGCCACCAAATCGGGCTGAATCCTAGCTGAATCAAATCAGGGGCCGAAGCTTCGCACATCCCTAATTTAAATCCATATTTGAACATTGTTCTGATTCTATGGGGTGTCTACATGCCACTGTACAGCAACGTTGCTATGGTGACATGCTTTAGTACTTGCTTTTGGAAGTACTAAAGCACAGTGCAGTAGCAGCCCATGCAGCACATGGTTAGTTTTTGTTGCTACTTCATCATAATGGCATGCTAAAATGGGAGAATGCGCCACTACAGCGATGTAGCTGCCGATCACACAGCACGTTGTACAGCAATGTAGCACATTGCTACGGTGACATAGAGTGATGTGTAGGCACAGTGCCGTACCTAGACTCCTGGTGACCTGAGTGAACTTTTAGTATTGGGCCTCCCTTCTCCGGAGCTAATGATTTTTTTGTTGCAGAAGTTTTTATCACATCTGTGGTATAGCTGTCTTTAGATAGTTCATTCTCAACTGATAACACTGTTAGTCCCATATGTGTGCAATATTAAAACTTTTTTTGCAATTGTAATTTTTTTTTTCAATTTTGGGCCCCTTTCTGTCTGGGCGGGGCAGCCGCCCAGTTCATTCATACCTGTGTATGGGTCTGTGTAGATGTGCCCTACTATTTTGAAGGAAATACATTACATACATACATGTGCACACACACACATGCATGCATGCACATATATACATGTATATGCATGCATGCACATATATACATGTATATACATACATGCACATATGTATGTATGTATGTATGTATACATGCACATACATACTAGCCAATTGCCCATCAAGAATAACGGGGGAAGGAGCAGGGCAGGGATGGAGTGCCGCCACCTAGCACCCTACACCATTGCTGCCTCCTAGAAGCAGGGGGGATGGAAGCTTGCCCAACTGTCCCCTCTGTCCCCCTCCACCAACACCCCACACCGCCACCACCTCCAGTGCCGCTGGCCTCACCCCTCCCCACCCCGGCCCTGCTCCTCAGAAGTAACAGAGTGCTGCCATGATGGTGGAGACAGAGCGGGGGGATGCTCTGTCCCCTCCGTCATGGCAGCACTCCCCTGTCTCTCAGGAGGAGGGCCGGGGGAGAGGGGCGCTGGCCTCACCCCCTTTCCTGCTCCACCCCCTCCATCCCTGCCATCATGTCAGTGCTCTGCACTCTGGTTGGTTGTTTAATTAACCAGTCAGAGTGCTCCAAGAGCGTTATGGACAGACAGACAGATGGGCTAAGCCCTTTATTATATAAGAATATATATATAGGAGGAAAACTGATTTTCAAATGTCCCCTTCCAACCAAATTCTACCTTAAATTCTAATCCTCACCTTGGGATTCAGCTGAAAGTTCAGCCGAACTGTTTCTCCAAGTTGGATTTTAGACACATCAAAGAAAACAGTGAGGAGATGGTCATCTTGAGTTAAACTGTCTTCATCGCAGACCTTTAGCTCTAGAATGTTCTGGGAACAAAAATGAAAGTGTGTCTAAGTCTGAGAAGCAGATGACCCTGAGAATCACTCATGTTAATGTGTGCAAGTGGGGAAAACAATGTCAGATATAACAATCAAATAAGAAAATGAGACAGAAAAAAATTGAAAGTGGAAATTTTACCCAATTGCAAATGTATTTATTCAAATCCTAAATAAAATTGGTTTGTTCTTTTTCCAGATTTAATGGAAAAGAGTAGAAGTGTAATCAAATAATTGCTGATTGCAGCAGCTGGTTGCCATTATATAATCCCTGATTAATTTTTTTAGTAGGCTCAAAGTTGCTTGTTCTATTTCTCTATAAGAGTCCAAAACCATAGTCTAATCCTTCCAGAGGAAGATAATATTGAAAGATATAATGATGCATTAAATGTCATACTAGGCATATTAGTAGCGACCACTGTAACTGTTTCCACAGCATGGGGGAAAAGTGTGCCCCCCCCCGCAAGCTCACTGGAGACAATTTCAGATGTTTTTCAGGGTGGGCGCTCTCATGCCTCTGATTGGCAGGCTGGGCAGCAGGTAAGCAGAGTTGCTGCTCCAGCCCCTGCTAGCATGCCGCTGCCCTCGCTTCACTCTGAGCTGGACTTTTAAACTCCCCGCCAAAGTTGGGAATTGAACACCCTGATGGACTGAGCCCTGGCAGAGGCTCCACCTGTACTAGGCTGCCCCTTGGCCATTTCCAGCCAAATTGCAGTTTTCCAGGGCTTTGGGGGAAATGCTAAATCTTGAGTTTTCCCCTGAAAACCCCTGAATCCTGAAATACAGTGGTCCCTGCGTATTAGGGTATCCATTATATGGTTGTTGCCTAATATTTCCATGTCAAGGATAATTGTGTGGTGTGGAAATTACTGCTACACTCTTGACGATTACCAGAACCATACCTATTTATTTATTTTCAGTAAGCCAATATGCTGGTCAAGTGGCAATTATTTCTGTACCTAACTAGGTGCAATTATAATTTAATATACCAAGAAACTGTGTAATTACTGCATAATTAAGTAGACCCAGCACTCCCTCATGATCTGTAATAAAAATGAAGCAAAACTGCACAAAAGGCTGCCTTGTGGCTGTACAGGAAGGAAAAATAGTTATATCAGATATTCTCCTTCCTTTCTTGCAACAGGAGGCTTGCTAGGCAGTTCTAAAGGATAATTCAATTTTCTGTTACCTGGGAGTGGGAGGTAAAGATTAGTCTCCTCAAGTCTTGTGCAAAAAAGGCATAAAATACTCCGGAGTGGCACCAAAGTGCCTGAACGGAAATAGGTGAAACTTGTGTAATATTAATTGCTAGTCAGCTATAGGGCCCTCCATTTTTCACTATAACTAGTTCTTTATCATTACTGCTGTTTACTTTATCATTACTGCTGTGACCCCTATTTGTAGGGGTCACAATTCGCCATCACAGGCCTTGTAATTCAACATGCTGCTGGACTTAGGGCTTCCTGTTCTGAGGCTGCAGCCTTGGCTAGAATACAAGGCAACCGAGGTATTTTTGTGAATAATTTTGGCCTTCAGAAAGCAAATGTTCAGGGAGGGTGAAAGTGCCCTCAGAAGAGCTTGGCATGGGATGTCTAGCAATAAACAGTTACTAATGGGTAAATTACAAATACAATTTGAGCTAAGAGATCTGGCTGATAGCAAGGGCATTTACTTGTCTTACCTTGACCTGATTCTGAATCCTGAAGTGGAAGGTTTCATTCCACAATGGGTCTTTGGTGTTGTTAACAGTTTTGGTTCGGACCTTATGGACTGAAGCAGTTGGAAGGTAGAGGGTCACATAGCAATCAGACTGAGTCACTGTGTAAGGGAAGGACAATGTAAATAGCAATATATCAAAGTACCACATTTAGCATTCACAAAATGTGCTGAACTAGTTTTAGTTTTCTATGTATGAAGTTATAAAGAATTCAGTACAGTTTGATAGACAATACGTCAAGTGAATATGGGTAGCCCATTCTATTTCTGATAACTTAACAATATTTTCTTCTTTAAAACTATTACACTTTTTAATGATTGTAAAAATAGCAAATTAAATGCAACTTATTCTAAATATATAGCTATATTATACTCACTTCCAGTGAGATGCAGTATTAGTATGTAATGTCTGCACTCTTTGGAGCTTCAGAAAGGTTTAGAACTCTATGGATGTGAATATATGACATCTAGACTAGCATAATTTACCTCAGTTTTCCAGATCTCTCATAAGCAGCACCCAGAACAGCTTCACCACCTCACTTCCAAGTGTGACACATGCAAGCAGGAACTTGTGTGCAAGATCTGTTCAAGATCAGGCACTCATGGGCATTGCTGGGGCACACGGTAAACTTTCCCAAGAGTCCAATTCTGGATTAATCTGGCTTCCAAAGGAAAATGGCAGGGATATCCAGCAATGGTTGCTATGTAATCTGTGACTAGTAACTTCTACTTCTTTTGCTTGTTGAGGCCTTTCTTCTCTTACTACTACACTTGCCTTCATACCTTTAGGCACCAGAAACTTGTCATCAGTCTAACAAGTAGGGCTTCCATTTGTTTATAGCTCTGTCACAACAGGCATTTTTATTTCTTATAAAGTTAAAAGTTACTATGCAGTAAAGCTGGTCTAACTGCTTGGCTAACTGAGCCAAAAGTCAAGCTGATGACATTTGCAAAATTCTCCAATGTATAAGTGAAAGCTTGTTTACCTTCCACAGCTGCAAAATAAGCAGAAAAGTGCTCTTTTGTGCAATGTGGTACTGGTTTCAGTTTGTTGGTTTATTTAGTGATTGTCACAGACCACAAAGTTCACATCTGAATTTGTACTTGCCCAGAATTCAGAGATATTTGATCTGGGGGTTTCCATTTAGTGGGCCTGTCTAGGCGTGCAGTAGGTTACTGCACAGTAAGTGGCTTTTAGACAGGTGTCTACATGTGTAGGCATTACTGAGCAGTCACGCTGTGCATGTGCTGCAACTTGGAAGTACAGTTATTCCCAAGTCGGAGCACACACACAATGTTACTGTGCAGTAAGGCATCTACACATGCCTTACTGCACAGTACCTAAGTGGGCATAAATTTGCTACCTGCATCATGCAGGTAGCAAATTTACACCCAACTCGGCATAAGTCATTATAGTTACTGCACAGTATAGACACATGCCCATACTGCGCAGTAACTTTCAGTTACTGAGCAGTAATCTAAGTTACTGTGCAGTAACTGCACATGTAGATGCACCCATGTGTCACAAAATTAAAGGCCAGAAAAGTAGTTTGGCTTCAGAACTAAGCTCTATAGCTTTTCTATATTTGGGGGATGTTCAGATCTAAGGATTTCTGTACAAGCTGATGTCTAGTGGCAACGTGCAGTATCATTAATGAGAGCTTTAATCCTGACATAGAAATATACTTAAATGTGAATTCATGTTTTTGTCAGTACAAAACAAGAGACAATTGTGAATCAAAGTAAGATGATCAATTGGCCCTATCCCCAGAACTGTAGAGTAAGAACCTTACAGAAGATGACCAGTTCCAAAGTATGACTACCTAGGAAGTGAGGCATAAGGCAAGGCAGATTTAACTACCAGTCTCTACCTAAGAAGTGTTGGAAGTGGCATGGAGGGAAATGTCCATAGGTGCTAATTATTATGTTTGTAATCATAATACACATTACTCAAGCATTCAAGATAGTATACAATGGACACATCTCATCTGCATAGATTCTATCCTGCCCCATTAAATTTGGCTTGTGCATTTGAATCATAAATTCTATGGACAGACATACACAGATTTCTCTTTTCTTCCCTCAGTGTGTGGAACCTAAAAATAAGAAAGCCAACCTCATTTATTCTTTTTAAGTTATTGATCCTTTCTTTCTTTTGACCCAGTTGCTATGGTTTGACCCTGCCCTGTAAGACAACTGCATTTCAATCCCTGTTTCAATTCTAACTCTCTCTTGTCTAACTGGATTCTTCATTAAGATATATATAGCTGCCTATAAAGTGTGTGTGTGTGTGTGTGTGTGTGTGTGTGTGTGTGTGTGTGTGTGTGTGTGTGTGTGTGTGTGTAAAATCCCAGGAGGCAGATATATAGAAATATTTATATATCTTCATCTGCCCAGTGAGTAGTAGTAAAGTTGTTTATAAGTTTTAAAAATCACCAGAATATACACAATGTATTATCAGTTCCATAGCTCATACACAGCTGCTTAATGAGCTTTTGAGAAGGATTGGTTTAAGCCAAACTTTCTCAAATGTTGAAAACTTCACACGGACTCCAGCAAGGAGCTAAGGTCTAAATACCCTGAAGCAGGAGACCTGGAAAAGTTAGGAGAACACTGTCCAACCCTCCTTTCTAAGATAAAATGAATCATTAAGTGGAGGCACAACCCAAATGGTAACTTCATTGACCCCGTCCAGATCCTCAGTCTGGCTGGTATACAGTGGTGTGAGAATAACTTGAATTAGCTACCTATAGTAAGCTAATCATTTAATTAAATTTAGGAAGCAAAATACTGTTTCCCATGCACTCCTCCCTCTCATAATGTGGAGGTGCTATTCTCTGGGTGGCCTTTCCATACTACTGTGCAATATAATATACATGTGTAACTATATATACCAGATAAATAATAGTATTTATGTACATAGAGTAAAAATTAAAGAACTCATGGTTCATTTTAAGCTTTTCTATAGGCCCGCTGGATAACTTTAGACAAGTTACTAAATCACTCTGTGTTACTTCATAGGTACTTCACTTCTACATAGCTTCTTCCCATATCCTATCATCACCAGATACAGTTAAGGGAAAATGGAAGAAACGATTCTCAAAAGCACATGCTATAGTCTTCCTGGCCTCAGCTCTCAATATATATTCAAAGGAATATACAGGACATAACATAACATCTACTCACACATGCATCATCATCACCCCCACCACCACATGCATATACGAACACTATCCTGATGAGTAAGCTTCAAAACCTTGTAATTACAGTCATTGAATAAAAGCTATCGTGTTGATACATGCTGCATACACAAGGCTTATAATAGCAATAGGCATCAAGCTGGCAGAACATAGCTCATAAGTAGGCTATATTGTTTTGTAATGCCAAAAAGCATTCAGTAAGCATCAACATTCACATTGGTGTTAAGCAATGCACGCATTTATGGGATCAAGGCCACTTTGGCAATTAAATAAATCACATATAAACTTTCATCTTAGCAGTAGGACTAGGAGGTAATTATACTGTATCATCAGAGAGCAATATAGGAAGGCGATGCAGGTAACAAAATATCTTGATCAGAATAATTTGTAACGTCTAAGATAATAGCACAGCAGTCAGATATTTGTCTGTCTTATACCATCCTGCCTGCAACATTGATGTCATCTTCATCATGGACCTCTTTCTAACTCTTAACATTAAGGCTATGTCTAAGCTTTGCAGGTGCTTCATGACATCTCAAAGACGCATCTTTTCCTATCACAGTTTTAGAGCTGGAAGGGACTTCCAAGGCTCATCCTAACAATCATGCATGTGCAAAGGCACACGTTTCCTGTGGGAAAAATAGCAGCAGCACATGCCACTGCTATTTGTCCCCAGGCACACCCCTTCATGCATGCTCTGGTGTGCAACAGTGACCTGGGTGGGGTAGGGGAGGCTGAGGCCAGCATCTGTGCTGGCCTCAGTAGCCTTACCTAGGGTTCTGGGGGCCCACCCTGGAGCAGCAGTCATGATGAACCAGCTGCTCAGAACCTGGCTGGCAGCCAGCACATGCCAGCCAGGTTCTGAGCATCTTGTTAACTTGTTAATTTTAGTGCTTACTCCATGCCCCTCATGCTTGGTCAGTGATCCATGAAAATACCCCCAATAACTACGTCTCCTTTCTCATGATGCCTAAAAAACCTGATGATGTTTAGAGAATGTTGCCAACGACACTGACTCATTTTATGTCACTACTTCCTTCCATTATTTACTCCCACATCACTCTTTATCCATCTGTTGTCTCTTGTTTTATACTTACTTGATAATCTGTTTGTCTTGTTTATAAAGTTCCTAACACTATGGGGCTGTGGTTCCCTAAGTCCCATGGTAATGCATATAACAAATAACAACAACACAGCAGCAATAGAGCAAGCACTCAGCTGCCACAGCAAGCATCTCCTTTAACCACTATTCATCAAGCAAATGATAAACAGTCATTTGAAATTTACATCTTTCATTCCAGGATCACAATTACATAATTTATACCCACATTATGATCTACTGATACTGCCATGCCAAGAGAGAATGAAAAATATTTTTTTAAAATAAAACATTTAAATGAAATTAACAGCCATGTGTCACAATTCCAAAATGAAATTGTAATTTTGCAAATTGAAATTTCAGAAAATTTTCAAAGTAAAAAAAAATCAAGATGTTTTTGTATAAAAATGTTCTCTTGAACAACTGAAAATTACTGCTTGTAAATTGGCATGTGTTTTTTAAAACATTTCAGTTTGAGGAAATCTGCATTTTTCAGCAGAGCAGAAATTTTCAAGGAAAAAAATTAAGCCACCCTAGGTCCAAAATCCACTCCCCTGGGATATTTCAGATAGCACGGCATGCATCTGTCTGTGTCTGTATACTGAACAACTGTGTATTATCAAGACGAGACAAACATTAAATCTATAGCAAATATAAGAGGGAAGCATCCAGGGGGCAATAATGTGTGCCAGTGTGTGGCACTAATAGGCCAATATATCAGTGCACAGTATTACTAGCTGGCCATTCTTTGAACATCAACACAACTCAGAAAAGCACAAAGCTATTCTTGCCATGTAACCTAGGCACTATTCATAAGAAAATATTATGATGATTAAATCTGCATTAACATTTAAATCATAAGCAACCAACACTCATTGATGGGCAATTGAGGGAGTAGAGAGTATACAGAGTATACACAAACATCTAAAGTGAAGACATTGGGTCAAATTACAGATGACCAAAATGGTGATGTAAGTAATATACAGATAAACTGGTGTAAACTGGCATGAATAAATTTAATTTGCATGCTATCTGGACACTAAGGAGAAAGGTACAGTAACAGGCAGATATTTGGAAGATTCTATATAAAACATATAAATAATTCAAATGGACTTGTATAAAAACACTGTCCACAGGCACTGAAAATTCACTAAAGGGGAAATGAAGAAATGGTGATGATAAATCCAATGTATCCAGCTGGCAGGAATTGATAGCAAAGCATTGAATGACTAGTATTAATACAATGTTATTTGTCATGTCCATTAATAATCTAATCAGTGCAGTAACAAAATTAACATGTGAAGACTGAACTGGCAGGAGTCCTAATCAACAGCTAGGACAGATATGTCATATGAAGAGGCCTTGAGAAATTAGGAACATAAGAAGAAAACAAATACAAGTTAGAGCTCCTGGGGAAAAACTCATCTGAAACACAGATACTGCTATGAAGAGAGTGAGCTGGAAAGGGATCTGAGGATGGTAATGGAAAGTAGATTAGATTTGTACTGGCATATGACATGCTGCATAAAAAGCCAACACACTTTTGCATTTCACACACATACAAAAGCATTACACATTACCTAGCAAGGAGGCGTATACTAGTTGCCAAGATATTCAAAAGATACAGGCCAAATGGGGAGTTTCAGAGAAGATGACTACAAAAGAGGATCAAGGCTGAAGGGATTGGCTTAAGAATCTAAAATGTTATGCCTATGCAAGTTGGCTCGTAGGTGAAATGGTATTCAATCTACAAGAATTTGTAGGAGGGAGTAGAATTATTCAGTGCAATACACAAGGATTTGACTTTAGTGAAGCCAATTTCATCTCAACATTACAAAACAGTGACACTGCAGGGAGTCCCCAAGGACACTGATGGAGGAGCCCCCCATCCTTGTTCATTGCCATGGCTTCCTTCATCACAGGGGTTAAGCTTCTCCCTCCCCTTCAAAAAATGTTGTTTCTATTTCTTTTTTTATCATTTGCACCTTGTAAATTTTTTCTTTAGGAAGTAAATGTGAAGAACACCCAATCCAGTAAAGCTCTCTTTTTAGAGTATGGTTTCATTTTTCCTTGTACAAGTCCATCTCATTATTTGTAATTGTGTATTGTCACTATACATGAATAGCCTGGAGAAGTTTTTGATTAAATGTTTTCATTTTTAATTTGCAGACAGTAACTTGTACACATTGCATAGAATAAGGTGAAGTGACGGCAGTTTGATAGGCACAACTTCTCTTATGCTATAGTTCCAGACTCCAGGCTGGTATCCTAGTACTATCTTTTTAAATTAAATAATGATTTTTAAAGGGAGCATGGTCTAGAGGAATAAACATAGGACAGGATGACAGTAATCCTGGTTCCTCTATTGCATACGTGTTCACCCAAAAGTCTTCTTGCATTGAAAATGGCAGTATCCAATTGTAGGTAACCCTTACCATAAAGAAAAACAGGTGAAAAGAAGGGATAAAGATCATTGAAGACATCTAAGGAAAGAAAATGGAGAGGACTTTTGAAGAAATATGGTAAGCTCAGTTATATCATATAGACAGGGCTTATCAGAAATGTAGTAATAAGGTCCGGGGTAGTACTCATGTCTCTCCTCTTCCTATAAGCTATTTTAGTCTCCCTCACACAGGATTTTGATGTGGGAAGAAATTAACTTTCTGCCTCTGAAAGAAATCCTAGAATCTCGAGTTCACGCTCCTGCACTGGGTCAGTGAAAGAAGGAAGAAAGGAGAAGAGAGTCTTCTCCCTTTACACTCTACAACAGCCTCGTGTTCCTAATTTCATTCCCCATTGCTTTTTCCCGTCTCTTCTTCAGAAAAGACAGGGCAGCCTTGGAAAAACTCAAACAGTTGGGATAAATTGCATAAATTGGATTATACATGAAAACTAGCACTTCCACACTGTTGCAATTTGGGAAAGATACTCACTCAGGTCTGCCTTCCGTGCATTTTTCATTCTTATGACTTTCACAGTGAGCAAGTTACAAGCAGAAGGTTCAGTCTGCTGAAAAATGACAAACAAAAGACATGGAATGAACATAGATAGAAATGAAGACATGGATTCCAGATTAAGCTTAGTCAGCTCCTCTATCTGCTTCAATATTTTGGTATTGATTATCTAAGAATTCTTGACGCATGACTGGTTCTGCTTCTCTGGTTCTGATACATGGACTCATGACTCTCTGCTGTTCCTGGAGCCACTGGACAAACTACCATTCTTCCCTGTCCATTCTCGATAAGTTGAAGGATACTTCCACTTTAAGAGGTGACAAGTTGTTTATTATAATTTATTCCACTCACCCATAATCAATAAAAAGGGCTGAGGAGAAGCTTGTTTATATAATCAATATGGCTGTGTTATTCACCATCTTCTGATCCACTCAAGAGGAGAATATATGATGATCAATAACATTGTTTTATCAATACGAGACAATATACATGAGAGAAAGCCAGAGCCAGATACTGTTCTTCCTATTCATTATCTAAGTTCCTAAGTGTACTGTTCCACCTTGCTGAAATTCCTGAAAAACTGTTGGCACAAAAGATGGGTGGGCCTTTCTCCTTGTCACTGCTATTTGACTTAGTCTTAGTGTTAAGATGAAGGTGTATTACAAAAATGGACATGTTAATGGTTGGATGGCATGGGGACACACTTCAGCATTTATGTGTCTAAGTGCCACCTAAAGACCTAAAATATACAGTAGGATCTGACTTACTATCTCCACCAATCAAAGTAAATTCATAGACTGTCATGTCATAACTACCATAATTTGAATAATGCATTAAATTCCAGGCTAGATGCCTATCACAAATGTACTGAAAAGTGTGCCTTTTGCTTTGGCCTTTATGTAACTAGTAGTATGCAGAAAAAAACATATTCTATATAGGGATTAATAGAGGATCAATATGTCAGTTTCTTATTGAATATGAAGTGAATACTTCAAAGACACTATCCATGAAGCTACAACTGAAGATAGTTTAGAAATTTCAGCTACCAGAGAAATCTGTTGCCATTCTTTTTGGTTGATGAAATCTTAAATTAGGGTTAATTCTGCATTTTACACTGGACTATTCATATTCAAATGCAGCAATTCCAGTGGTGGTTTTGACCTATAAAACGCTCTGTGGGGATAGGTTTTAAGAATCTAAGCACCGCCTGGTTATGTCAGCATCAGTAATCTACTGGAACAAATATTCTTAAAAAACTCTGAGATTAGGCTGGCGGCTGGACAATTTTTTATGAAGAGTTCTTGCCTCTGAATCGACCTTCATAATGTATCCAAAAGAGCTAAATTTAAACTCATCCAATAAGAGATCAAATCCCTAAAGATCAGGTTATCAAGGAAATCTTCAAAGGGATCTTTTATGAGTTTTCTTTGAAATACCAATCATATTTGTGGAGGGTTGATAATCTTATTATTCTAACAGCAATTTTTGGTGATCCTTCCCATGCAGAAGGTTGATTTCTCAACCCATTCATTTCTGAAGATACAATTTCTATGTTTCTGAGCACAAGATTTAACGATTAAATGTCTAAATTACTAATATTTGCACTTGCACTAAACCACAGGAACAAAACTGCAGATACAATTGTTTGCACAAAAAATAGCCCATCTTTGAAAATCAAGCCTTTAAATTTATGGTTTTGGCCAATAGAAACCTGCAAGTAAAAAAATTTCTGCAGAAACCATTAAATTATGCAATCTGTAGAATTCAGACTTTTTTGTGAAGCTGAGTGTGATATTTTTGGTGTTCTGATGTTCATATATCAGGAATCAAAATATCCACCCATTGTTAATGAGGTTATAACTGGAAGATATTGAAATTAATTAGAAATTTGTACCTACTGGTGGCTATGGAAAAGACACAGAAAGCAGTGACATTGTTCGTGCAATTGATTTCATTTAGCCAAAGTTACTGTGGCCCTGTTTTAAACACTATTCAACCTATCTTGGAACTTAATTTAAGCCACCCCTGTTGCAATTTATGCAACTGATTTGAATATTGCACAAACAGCAGCAGACAATCTAGCAGAACAAGAACATTAAAATATTTATATTGGTCTTATGAAACTTTAGAGGGACATTACGGGCATTTTTGCCTCTCATTTGAAAGCTTTTCTAACTCTATCCTGACTATGCAGTTGGTTCAATAAGAGATATCACCCTAAGAAATCCTTGCCTCTCGCATAATTCCTGGACCATCATTGCTACAACATCACTCTTGCACTACCAATCAAGGAAGGACAGAGGAATAAAGAAATTCACAGGAAACATTAAGACATATCACCTAGGAAGAAGGGATTTTTTTTTTTATACTGTATCTTGACACCTATGTTTAGAAGGTTTCACTAGCTTCTTAGATCTTCTAAACCTTCCCTCCATCCCCATGGACATCATTCAAAATGCATGAATATTCAGGTCATTTCTTACTCTCTATGTGTTTTTATACTGTGACCATCACCATGGTAACTTTTGACTTGATAGTTTGTTGTTTATTAATCAACAAGTAGTCTAGGACAAGCACAAAACAAGCACAAGTGGTACCCACTGAACAAACATTGTATAAAAAGATTCCTCACATAAATAGGTATAGGAGGAATAGCAAGACATCCTGCAGCAGAAACACACTGTAATTAAAGCTGCCCTCATTCTGCCTGCACATCTCAGTTAAAAAGAACCTTTTGTACTTTTTCTTACCTTTTCTGTACTAGCCAATCCCCCCATTGTGGCCTTTTCTTCATCCAAATCAAAGTCTAGAATTTGACTTGACAATAGGTCCCACAGCTGGCAGTGACTCCTGTTGCAGAGTTGTTCTCTTTAAACTGGCAGGAGTAGATAAACAGGTGTTTTACAAATTGACTCATAGCCCCACCTCTCCATGATTTCCATAAATTAAGCAATTCCTCTCCTACTTTTGCAACTAGGTGATAATCTACAGAACATATACAGAGCAGTATGCAAGGATTTTCTTTTTGGCTTCAGGGATTGGAGCAAAAGCAAGTCTTGGGACAAAAGGGTTCTGTCTCTCTGAGCAACAGGTGCCTAGCAAAATAATCATCAGTAAGATTTTATACTTATATAAACCCTTTTATGATATAAGGTGCCAAAGTACCAGCTAGAACACCACTGAAATGCAGCTATAGACAAGTCCACGATGGCATCGTCCTAATATATCATGTTCCTTCCATGAGAAGGAAAGGAACCTTTCTTCCAGGAGAACAGACTCTATTAGTCATGCAAAAACAGATGTGATTTTTATTGTCCATGCAGAGTAGACAGAATTGTACTTTTTATGATGTCACCTGAAAGAATACCAGGCAATAAACTGTATGGTGGTGAATTAAGTATATATAGAACCATCCATATACAGTGAATTAAGTGAATATAGAACCATCCATAGCAAGGCAACAGATTTCTGCTTTGCAACAATTTCAAGGGGTTTTTTTTCTTTTACATGTTTCTATTTTGGGTGAGAAGAGTAGGGGGGAGATACGTGTCATTAGAAGACAAAGACAGAAAATCAGATACACAATCTCTTTCTAATCTGGGAGTAACCCAACTTAAATAAAGGATTCAAACTTTGACATTCCATGACCCGTGAGTGCTGTGGCATTGAATCTATTCTGAGGTCCTTTTTCTTCTCCCAGAAATTACATAATAAAGCTGAGAAATCTTCCCAATGAACATTTCCCCAAAACTGACACATTTCCAGAACAAGTCAGCATTTTTTATTTGGTCAAGCATTTGGACAGTTTTTGAACCACTACCTTCCAAAATTGCATTTTGTGCATGTATCTTAAAATGTGTTATGAATGTCTTCAAGAGAATGCTGTTGTTTTAGTTTGAGGTTATTATTTATTAATAAATTAGTTGTTAATTCTTTATATTGTTGTCATCCCTAAGAATCAAACTCCCACCGTGCTAGATACTGGTAGGATCGTGTAAGAAAAATGATCACAAATATTATTTGAGATTTGAAAAAATACATTATAGCAAGAGACTTAAAGCACACAGTCTAATTTGAATGTCATAAAAGAGATGAAGATGTGCTTTGATGACTGTGTAAGACCTTTCATGGGAAGAAAATACTGGTACTCAAGGGCTCTTTAGAATGGGGATGACCAAGAATTTTCCAGAATAAAATTTTTCCAAAGGAATTCATCGTGACAACATTTAATTCTGAGAAAAAATGTATTATGAGGAGTTTTATTCTAAACTTTATGGAATGGAAAATTTGATGTTTCATATTGTTTATTAATTTCATGAAAATGTATATTTTTATTTTATAAAAATGTTACCATATTGTTTTTCTATCCTTAAACCAGTTGCCATTTACTAGCAAAGACATCTATTACTACAACCTTTTAATCCTAAAATTCACAAATTAGAATGCCAATCACTATCATTTATATAATTCTTTGTGAACCCTAATTTTAAAATATAAAATAAAATATAAATAATAATGCAATTAAAACCATAAAATAAAATCAAAATCCCAACAAAACTGTTTGATGCTATCAAAATGAAACATTTCAACTAGACAGATATTTTGAGGAAATTAATTCTGATTCAAAAGGAAATGGGTATTCTAACGGTCAGACTTTCCCATGAAACTAAACCTCAAGGCTTTTTACCAGAGCTATTGATGATTCCAGCAGAGGACACAGTAAAATCCAAAAACTGAAAGTTGAAAGTAGACAGATTCACATTAGGAATAAGGTACAAATCTTTAACTGAGATTGTGACTGACAATTGAAACAAACTACCAAAGAATGCAGTGGATTGCCCATCTTTTGATGTATTCAAATCAAGCTAGGACAGATGCCTTACTGGGAACTCTGCTTTAGTTCTACAAAAATTATTGAGCCTATTGCAAGAATAACTGCATGAAATAGAATGACCTGCAATAGAGAGGAAATCATTCTAGTCAGTGGTGCTCAGCCTATGGCCTGCAAGCCAGTCTGGCACCCAGTATGTCTGGGTCTGGCCCACAGCATGGGGGATCAGGAGCAAGCAGCTCAGGCTGGTCCCTGCCCTGCACTGGATGTGCCACTGATCCCTTCCACAACCCTCCTTGCTCTATCCCTTTCCTCTCCCCTACAACAGGCAGCCACATCCCTCCCTCATCCCAGAGGTGACAGAGACATAACAACACAGCTAAGCACCCAAGTCAACTGCAACACAAAAGGGCAGCAGCAACTTCCAGCTGGCACCATGCTGCCAATACAAGCGTGCAGCTGTGGCAGCAGTTGTTTTTCTGTTTCTCTTCCCTTTTGCTCTTCCCCCTTTTTCTCCCTCCCCTCCCCTCCCCCCCAGTGGCCACGTCTACACAACACAGTGACTGTACAGTCATTTAGTATTTGTATAAACAAGTACTAAAGTACTATGCAGTAACTGGAGTTATGGCATTGTCACACCAAGGAACAGCTTTTTCATGATGCTAACTGCACAATAGCTTGTGACTACTGCCCAGTAGCATCGCATCATGCTTCCTGCCATGCAACACTACTGCACAGAAGTCATGGGCTACTGCACAGTCAGCATCTTGTGCAGACACAGCTTGTAACTCCCTGAGGTAGCTCTCTAGTTACTAGGGCTGTGAAAAGCTTTGGTCTCTGATTTGATTTGGCGGAGATTCAGCCCGATTTGGTGGCCGAATCTCTGAATCCGAATTGAATCGGAGGACCCTTTAATCTCTCCAAATTGATTTGGAACCCTCCAAATCAATTCAGAGAGATTCGGCAATTCAGACATAGATACAGCTTTAAATGTTTTCTCTATATACCTCTAGGTAGCAGGTAGTTCATGACTACTGTAATGCTGGTGTGACAGCTGAAATTATGTCTGTGTGATAAAGGTGCTTACTGAAGGCTCTATGAAGATTAGACCAAGAGTTTTTCTATCATCTATCTAGATATTAAGCTACATAGATTCATAGATGTTAGGGTCGGAAGGGACCTCAATAGATCATCTAGTCCGACCCCCTGCCTAGGTAGGAAAGAGTGCTGGGTCTAGATGACCCCAGCTAGATGCATATCCAACCTCCTCTTGAAGACCCCCAGGGTAGGGGAGAGCACCACCTCCCTTGGGAGCCCGTTCCAGACCTTGGCCACTCTAACTGTGAAGAAGTTCTTCCTACATGTTGTTGCTAAGAGCCTAATTAAAGTTTAAGATATAGTAAGGCCTTGTATAAAGTAAGGCCTAGTAAATTTAGCAAAGCCTTAAAGTAGTAAGGCCCTGTGGCGTAGTTAAAATTAACCTTATCAAAAGAATGCAAGGCTTGTACTGCTATTGGACAGTCTAAGGACAGTTGAAGTAAAAAGAATCTGAATGGCTGTAAGTTATCAGCACAGTTCAGCAGTTATAAATTGGCTGAAACATCTGGAAATCATTCAGAAGGAATATACAGCTCTGTGAAAAGGATTAATTAGCTGTTGATCTGGATCAGTGAGCCCGTGGATCTCGAGGAGCCTAAGGACTAAATACCAGGGTTCTTCCCAGTACTTTTTGGACAGCGCTGATCAGGGATGCCTGACTTCGCTGAGATTTGTGGAAAAAGAAACTTGTCATGCATCAGGCATCAGAGGGGACTGCCAATAAGTTGCCGATGTGAATTATTCTTGTATGTCATTGTTTGTCTTGTTACTATGTACAGTTGTGTTTTTGTTAAGTCAATAAACCTTTCTTACCTTTCTACCTCCTGACCACACTCCCAATCAATCCCGAACCCTTCACTGGTGGTTGGGACAGCTGGGTGCATGGAGTGTCCCACAGAAGCACAGGGGGGCCCCCAGCACACTTGGCAGCAGACCCAGAAGTGGACCAGAAGCACTTCCAGTCCACTTCCAGGTCCGCTGGGGAGCATGCGGGGGGTGCCCCTGGGGCCCCCTCAGCTTGGGAACTGGTCCCTCCTGGGTCTGGGGGAGCACCCGGGGTCCACCCTGTGGCCGATTGCCAAGCCAGGGGTACATAGGGGGCCCCTCCCCGCGTACTCCCCAGAGGACCCAGAAGTGAACCAAAAGTACTTCCAGTACACTTCCAGCACCTAGAGCCCCCCCCCCCAACGCTTCTCGCACTCCTGTGGGACACTCCATGCGCCCCAGCCTCACAATG